AATACATTCATATCCCCATGGTCCAAAAAGGCTCCATACCCATTGATGCAGCGCACCAGACCCATGATCTCATCTCCCTCTTGATAGCAATGTGTCCCAGGTGATTCCAAGGCTCCCGCTCGGGGCACTTTCTTTACACGCTCTTCAGAAACCATCTCTGTATCATCGGCTCCTGGCGCATCCTTTGTCTTCACCTTTGGGTCACACTGCTCGTCCTGCTCCACGAGTCCCACAAGCTCATCTTTTTTGTGCTCCTGGATTTCAGGACCTCCCTTTTTCTCCGCCAACGGCTTTGCCTCATCTGCTGTAGTTCGCTCGGTGTCGACTTCCGCTGAACTTCCAGACGGCAACGCTTCTCCCTTCATGGGAGTGGACCCATCATTGGAGTCCTCTGTCTCACCTTCTGCAGCAGGCAAATCTTCTTCCACTGCAGGGCAATTGAGTCGATCATCCGCGGCAGGCACGCTTTCTTCCACCGCAGGCTCCTTTGGTTCCATGGCCTCCAAAGGAGAATTTCCACCATCATTGACCACAGCTGCCTCATTGGCTCCGGTGTAGCCCTTGTCATTTCGTTCCTCGCTGCTAACTTCAGGTTGCACCAGTGCGTCCACCTGTGAACCTCCATCATCAGCTGCTGCGGAGACCTGCGCCCCATTGTTGCAGTCGCCCGTGGAACGTACCACCACATGCACCTCAACCCGTGCTTCCTTCGCACTCCAGGTAATATCTGGCGCATCAACCCGCGCATCATTGGCGCTCCAGGCCTCATTTTTCAGATCATCCGTGTCTCCAGCTATTCCAGAAGCTTCTTTTTCCCCTTGAATGGCAGAATTCTTGGCACCAAACGAAGAGACCTCCTCAGTCGTAACACACAACTTTTTCTCTCCATCCTCCGAATCTCCAGGACCACCTTCCTGAACAACAGGTACCACATCCACCACTCGCTCTTCTGCAGCCGACACAGTTCCGATCACCTCATTGGGCATTTTCTCTTCTGGATCCACCAATTCCATCGCTGCCCCACCCTCAGAAAGCGCTTCTGTTTCTTCCCGATCCAGGTGTTGAGCTCCAGCGATGTTGGCTTGGTTCCCAGGAATCCCTTCCTCATCAGGAGAACCCGGGGTCGGGGCGTCACCATCAGCCCTAGGACCGCTATCCCTGATAGTAGAGGAAAAATCTTTTTCACCTAAACTATTTACACTACCCTGGAATGCCCTCGTAGACTCAGTCTTCGGAGTAGAGGATGAAGAATCCAGTGCCGCCTCCATTTCCAGCTCATTGCCCAAAGGAGACCCAACCACCTCGTCACTCTTCACCTTTTCACCTACCACCGGCAATGTGCACTTGGTTTCGTGCGTATCCAGGCAGTAATAATATTGTCTCCCATCTTCATGGAGGTGCAATTCCCACATTGTGCCATCACACGCTTGGATCAGATGCTCGTCTTTCCGAAAACCGTCCCTTTCAGAAACCTGTCGCATCTCGTCCTCTTCTTCTGACAGCTGTCGCAACCGTTCAGCCTCCATCTGTAGGATCTCCTCCTCCCCCATGGCGTATTCAGCAGCAGGTGCAGCTTCAAAGCCGTCCGCACCCTTCTGTTTGTGACCGCTTCCACCACCTTGGGAACTCGAAGATGGACCCTTTTTGATCTTGTTCAACGGCCTCCTGGTCGCTTGTAGCACTTCTCCAATCAGATCGGTCTGAGACTCTTGGTCTACCATTCGACCCGAAGTCGAAGACGACGGCTGGTACCCGTGTTTGTGTAACACTCGTAAAACAGTCACCTCCATTTCACGATCTATGCCACCAGTCGCATCCCAGTTCCTTTTTTCACCAGGCTTTGGCGGTACAGAAACAGCACGTCCTTCAGCTTCAGCATTGCTAACCATATCCCTATTGGGATTCATACCCGCATTGGGGCTTTCTGCAACCAAGGCCTCTTCCAGATGTACTTCAGCGTCGGGAATCACCTCTTCCAACACCGATCTTTCACCCAGAGACTCAGCTGCACCATTTCCAGCTCCACCATCTTGTCCACCATCCGAGGCAAGTTGGAGCCATCGCTTCGGAGAAGGCATTGCTTCTTGATCCCAAAACCTTGAAAGAACACTTAACCGCAGGGAACCTAATTTGGGCTCATAACCTACGGGGGGACAACCAAGGAAGGAAATCAACTCCCCTAATCGCCCTGAACTTATATTTCCCAGATCGAACCAAGAAACAACCAAGAACACGGATAAGAGCAACCCAGGGGGGAAGGAAAGGGGGAAGGAATCCACACCCTTACCAAACCCTAAGAACCCAGGCACTACTTTTTGAACTTGTGGCTTTCTGTTCAAGCCCATCTTGAGCCAAATACGATTACCGGGTTCATTAACCCTTCCAACTTCCAACACTAACTCCTTTCTACAATACCAATTGCAGCTCCGCACCCTAAACCCGTTCCGGGCCATGATCTTTTAGGGCTCACGGCTTTCCACTTCCCGCCTCCTTTCTCAAGTGCCAAAAATCCCCATTTTTGTCCTTTTAGGGCTTTCGGGTTGAAGGTTGGGATGTTCCCCCTTATTCTAACAGTCCTTAATAGTGATTATAATAGGGGGTACTAGAATCGCTATTGAGGACTGCCAATACAAGGAGGAACATTTCAAGTTGAAGGATTTTCTCCACTCCCCATCTCCAAGCGTCGAGGAAATCAAGAAATCTTCGTACAACAAGATACCTACATGCTACGTTCACAACGGCGAAAGCTGACGCCGTCGAAGCTGCTGGAATCTTCGCTCCGAACGTCGTGGCTTCGTGTCTGAGTTTTCAAGCACTTTGACATGTAAGCTTCTTCGCTTGCCCTCCCTGCGCCCTCAATTCAAACCCTGTCATCCTCCACCGTCGACCCGGCACGCGGCTGGTTTGAGGATCCTATCTCCTATATACATACATATCTATATATATATATATATAGATACATATATATATATATTTTTTTATTTAGTTTTTTATTTGTTTGTTCATTATGCACTTATTGTTCTGTATTATATATATATATATATATGCACGCGTATGTATGTATGTATGTATGTATATATATGTATTCATATTTATATGTGTATTTGTACTTATTTATTTATTCATCTATTTAGTTCGTTCTGTTTATTCTACCCCCTGGGCGCGGGTTGTTGGCTTTCCTTGCCTCCTCGCCCGGTGTCCCGCCCGGTCTCCTGGGCCTGGTCCTTGGAGTGCCCACCGGACTAAGCCATTTAGGGTTTAGGATTTAGGGTTTAGGGCTTAGGGTTTAGGGTTTAGGGTTTAGGGTTTAGGGTTTAGGGTTTAGGGTTTAGGGCCTTGGCTGAACTCACACCCGAACCCTGCCTCCGGACGCAAACCCGAGGCCCAAAGCCAACGGCGAGACATGCCGGAAAGGTGCATCAAAGCTGCCCGACTTGTCTCGGGAAAACCGAGCACGTTGCGCCTGGAACTTGCACCTGGAACTTGCACCTGGAATTTGGTCCTTGAAAATAATCTCGTCACGACGGCCTTGGCAGCACAAGTCTGGAGACTGCTGAGCCAGATCTCCCGACAATCATCTGCCCCGATCTCCCTGCTCTTGCTTTTCGTAAGACACAAAGTCCCAATCAATAGGAGGTTCTCCGCGCATGGCTCGAGGACCTCAGAGTCTTCACGGGCAAGTAGGTCTCGCGACGGCTGGGGCCCAGCATCGGTTGCGAGTCTGACAGGGCTGCTTTCAGAATGAGTTGGACGCTAGCGCACGCCGCTTTCTGCAACGACAAAAATGTAGCGCCCCGTACTCTGAGGAAAGCATAACCCTTCCCCTCAACCCCTCAGCGAGAAATCATTATATCCCAGCTCTAGCTTGCCGCGGCGCGGACGGACGCCGTCATTCTTCATTTCGCTTCGTTCAGCATGTTCTTACGCGAATTCCTCTATTCTCATCGTTTGAACAGTAGCTGCAACGGCAGCAAGCGGTCACTGTCATCTCGGCACTGCATTCCAGGCTCTGCAACGCCATCTTCAAACTACGTCGGCACTCCTGCTCTTGCCCCGTCACCTGACTCCGGTCTCGCAGCAGCAAAACTGCCGAGTTTGAGGGTGTCCGTGAAGTCGAACCCAAACATGACTTGGGTCGTACATCACAGCGAAGGATGCTCAGCTGCTGTAGCTGAGCTAAGGCCGCGGCAGCTTGGATGCACACAGGAACGTAGCCTCGCTCCCGCCGACCACCTATTTGTCAAGGCTTCTTTGCCAAAGGCGAGGTCAGAGGTATGAAGAGCAGAAGCGGTGGGCCGTCGATGAGGGCAAAGCGAAGTTTCAGGCGTGTTTCTGAACTCTGGCACCCTCTGGAGCACGAGGGCCATAAACGCTGCAGCAAGATTGCAAAGCAGCAGCTTGTGTGTGGCAGACAGCAGCCTTGGAGGACTTGCAGAATCCTGAGGGCGGCAAGCAAGAGGCCGGCCCTTGAGAACCCTGAAGTTGTTCTGGGCGGCTAAACGGTGCCTATCGCTTTCTCATGCCATCCCTAGTGAGACACGCCCAGTATCTTTGGAGCACATACCCCAAGAGAAGCCCGCCCATTGAGTCCCGCCGAGTATCCCTGGGGGTGCCTACTCCCAGAGAACTCCGCGGAGAGTCCCGCGACAGAAGCCTGCGGCGAAGTATCCGTAACTTCCTGTCTGAAAACGGCAGGATGGCTCCACACCAGGTAGCTTTAGTGCAGGCTGCAGGAAGGAATTTAAAAATGGATTTGTGTTTATATACATATATATATATGTATATACATATTGCTACTTCGTGTTTACATATTTGTTCTGTTATGTATTTGCATGATGTGTACTTTCGCATTAATTCCACTTTTATAACATATTATTGCATCTTGTTGAGGTTGTTAAAGGCTCCAAGATATTGATTTTTAATAGTCATAATCATATAGAGGGCATCCACAGAACCCCCTTAAGTCAGAGGTTCCCCTATGTGGCCCCTGAGACCGTGGCGCATTCGCCATCCTCAGCCTTGGGGCCATGGTGTCGGAGCTTTTCGGCTTCAGGGTTTCTTGGACTTAGGGTTTAGGACTTAGGGTTTAGGGTTTAGGGTTTAAGGTTTAGGGTTTAGGGTTTAGGGTTTAGTAGGGTTTAGGGTTTAGGGTCTAGGGCCGCAAGGCCACACAAAATTTGCGTCCAGGCCCTATAACTTATAACCCCCACACACACCTTCGTCAAGAGCCGCGTTTCGGGTTGAGGGTTTAGCGGTTGGATCCACAACAAGAAGCAGCCCCAAGAAGAAGAACCCATCCGCCCAACTCGAAACATGAAACCCTAAACCTTTAAGCCCTCAAGCCCCCAATCATCCCTGCAATCCTCCAAGCCTAAACCCTAAACCCTAAACCCTAAACCCGAAACCCCTAAACCCTAAACCCTAAACCCTAAACCCTAAACCCTAAACCCTAAACCCTAAGCCCTAAGCCCTAAACCCTAAACCCTAAACCCTAGCCCTGAACCCTAAACCCCTCAAACCCTATAAAGCCCAGTCTGAGCCCGACGCCGGCTCATGGGGACCGCTACATGCAGGGTTTGGGGTTTAAGGGTTTAAAGGCCTACGGGTGTAAGGGGCTAAGGGTGCAGGGTTTAGGGTTTAGGATTTAGGGTTAGGGTTTAGGGTTTAGGGTTTAGGGTTTGGGGTTTAAGGTTTAGGGTTTTGGGTTTTGGGTTTAGGGTTTAGGGTTTAGGGCTGAGGGTTTAGGCATTTTGGGTGTGAGCTGCTGGGGCCATGGGCTCCGAAAACGCGGAGGCTGTCGCTGGCGGAGGCCAACAGCACCTTTCCCAGCTTAGCCCGGAGACTCCAATCCAATGTCCCTTGATTAGGGTGGAGGGTGGGGGGTTGAGGGTTTAGGGTCTAGGGTTTGTGGGTTGGGTTTAGTGTTTGGGGTATTCATGCGTTGCAATCGGGACCGTACTCTATATTCTAACTTGAAGGCTCCGAGTGAACTTAATAGGCCAGGACTACGTACATAGGGCTACCTTTCTTTGGGGAAAGGTCTAGGGTTCAGGGTTCAGGGATCAGGGTTTAGGGTTTAGGGTTTAGGGTTTAGGGCCCTACAACAAGGAATATCAGTCGTTAAGGGTGGCCGTTTGTTCTGCGAAAACCCCGCAAGTAGGTGCCCCAAGTGAGGCTCTCGTAATTGGAACCTGGGTTTAGGGTTTAGGGTTTAGAACTTAGGGTTTAGGGTTTAGGGTTTAGGGTTTGGGGGTTAAGGTTTAAGGTTTAGGGTTTAGGGTTTAGGGTTTAGGGTTTAGGGTTTAGGGCTTTAGGGCTTTAGGGTTTTAGGGTTTAGGGTTTAGCAAGGCCCTAGATCCCTAAGCCCCTGCGTTAAGGCCCCTCCAGCTGTAGATCCAGTGTACGAAGCTAACCCGTTCAAGAGCCTGCCAACGCAGCTGCCACGTTTACCCTCAACCCTAAACCCTAAACCCTAAACCCTAAACCCCAAACTTATCTCGACCACTTTGACTAACCCAAGGGGACTTCCCGAAGCTGGTGGACCTTCTGGCCGTCGGGCGAAAAGACCGCATCATTCACCACCTGCTTCTCAGGTTTAGGGTTTAGGGTTTCGGGTTTAGGGTTCAGGGTATAGGGTTTAGGCCAGCAGAATTTGGGGGGAACCTCTACCGGCAAAAATGATGGATTAGGATCCACAGTTATAATCCAAAACCAAAAAGGGCACCCCTTGCATTCCTAGGTTACTCCTGGATCTAGTGGATGGTTTGTTAAGACATGCTAGCTCTCCCATGTTTCCGTTGCGCCAGTTTGCGGCTCCGGCTTACTTCCGGCTTGGGCTTCAGTCTGTGGGAGTTCAGAACGCAAAATATAAATGGCAAAAAAGAACAGGACGCGAGTCTCATCAACGCATCGCGACACGGAGGTTCGGTGGTGCCCACATGCGCTCGTGTCCATGGGATGGCGCTCCTACTGTCAAGCATCCAGGGGTAGGGTAAGGGTACCATAAGGTCTATGACCTAGATTCCCCCCTTAAATAACCTACATTAGGCTTAACTATACCTAAATAGCCTGAATTATGGGGGGGAGGTAGGGTATAAGGGGGGTATAGAAGCCCACCCTGCCCAAACTGCAACTAACCGAAACGGCAAGGACGACAGTGCGGTAGAACTTGTGGGTCGAGGTCGAGGCTTGAAAACATGTTGTGGCGGCTAAGGGTTTTGGTTTAGGGTTTAGGGTTTCGGGCTTAGGGTTTAGGGTTTAGGGTTCAGGGTTTTTAGGTTAGAGCACGCGTGTGGGCATTCGCAAGCGCGAATGGTCTTTGAAGCACGGCCGCCCCCAATGAGGCCTTTCCATCGCCAGGAATCACCAGCGTACAGGTTCCACTGGCCTCACTTCCACAAGAAACCCAAGAGTGACCTGGGAAACCAAAAAGGGTTTAGGGTTTAGGGTTTAGGGTTTAGGGTTTAGGGTTTAGGGTTTGGGGTTTGGGGTTTAGGGTTTAGGGTTTAGGGTTAGGGTTCAGGATTCAGAGTTCAGGGTTTAGGGTTTAGGGTTCAGGGTTCAGGATTCAGGGTTTAGGATTTAGGGTTCAGGGTTCAGGATTCAGGGTTTAGGCTTTAGGGTTTAGGGTTCGGGGTGACCCAAGCGTAACCTAGCAATGGAAAGGATTCCCTTTTGATGGTTCAAAACGGCTGGAACCTAAACCCTAAAACAAAAACCAATATGGGCCTAACTCGGACATCTGAAAGTACGGACGGGCCCCTATGTAATGAGCCCTAAACGAAAAAATCTGAGCCCTCAGTTCTGATCCTAAACAGAAACTATGAGCCCTCAACTATGATCCTCAAATCTGAGCCCTAAACCCTAAACCCTACACCCTAAACCTAAACCCTAACCCTAAGCCCTAGTCGAGGGATATCGGATTCTGAACCCCCCAGGCGAACCTCCGAAACTGCGAACTCTCGACCCGATCGTTTCAAGGTTCGAGTTTAGGGCACAGGGCTCACGAGTGTAGGGGTCAGGGTTTGGAGTTTAGGTTTTGGGGTTTTATGGGGTTTAGGTAGTTTAGGGAGTTTAGGGAGTTTAGGGTTTTTCGAGTTCGGGTACAGGGTTTAGAGATTAGGCTCCTGACATAAGGTACTTTGGACCTTTAAACCTAAACCCGGAACCCTCGGCCAGGACGCAGGAAGCATGCAGCTCGTGAAATCGTGAACCCCCCTAAACCCCCTAAAACGTCTAAACCCCCCAAACCCCCTGCACCCCCTAAACCCCCCAAACCCCCGAAACCCCCCGAAACCTCCCAGAACCCCCCAAACACCAAAGCCCCAAGCCCTAAGCCCTAAACCCTAAAGCCCATAAACCCAAACCCTAAGCCCGTAAAACCCTAACCCCTTAAATCCTAAACCCTAAACCCTAAACCCTAAACCCTAAACCCTAAACCCTAAACCCTAAACCCTAAACCCTAAACCCTAAACCCTAAACCCTAAACCCTAAACCCTAAACCCTAAACCCTAAACCCTAAACCCTAAACCCTAAACCCTAAACCCTAAACCCTAAACCCTAACCCTGAAACCCCTGAAACCCCAAAGCCATGGGCTCCCCGGCCACTTCCCAGAGCCGCGCCGTTCCGTCAAAGGCCGACGCAGTCAAAATCCGGTCGCCGTCCTTGGGTTTAGGGTTTAGGGTTTAGGGTTCAGGGTTTAGGGTTTAGGGCGTCTCGCCGCGCAGCGGCAGTAAGTGCCATGTGTAAATGGCGGCCCTACACACCCAGGGGAATGTCACGCGAAGGCATCTGTTTTCAATGTAATCCAACAATTTTCATTGGTGCTGGTTCCTTTCTCCCACCCGCTGTGAGCTTTCACAGGCCACCACCCAAACGACTTCCTTTTAGGGTTTAGGGCTGCGCCCTCATTCCCCCATCACGAACGCTTCACATTAGGAGGGGGTCAGGGGGGGCCAGGTCGGAAGGGGAGAGGCGGGGGAGGGGGGGGGGGCGGGCGCCAGAAGGGCCAGGGCAGGCCAGGGGCGCGTCAGGGGGGGGGCTGGGTATGTTTGAACGAGATTGCATGTGGGGGCAGGGGTTAGGGCGGGTAAGGGGGGTCAAAAAGAGCCTTTTGGGTATGTATTCTCATCAAGAGGAGGATCATGGGGTTCCCTTTGTAGATGTAAGGCACCACTTTTAGTGGTCCTAAGCAAGGCTTAGCCCTAGGGGGTATTCGACCATTCTCCAATGGCTCCACCGATTGTCCATCCAGTAAAGGTGTATCTCGCTGCCGGGCATAATTCTGGGTCCAGGCACCCTAGTGTAGGGTGGGTACGGCCTATGCAGGCCGGGTGGGAATTTAGGGTTTAGGGTTAAGGGTTTAGGGTTCAGGGTTCAGGGTTTAGGGTTTAGGGTGTAGGGTTCAGGGTTCAGGGTTTAGGGTTTAGGGTTTGGGGGTTAGGGTTTAGGGTTTAGGGGTTAGGTGTAGGGTTGAGGGGTTCACGATGTTCAGGGTTCAGGGTTTAGGCGGTTTTGGGGTTTTGGGGTTTTGGGTTCAGGGTTTAGAGTTTGGGGTTTGGGGTGTAGGGTTCAACTTTTTCTTTTGTTGGGCGGGTGCGGGGTGGGGCGGAGTGGGGGGGAGGGGGGGGTGGGTGCACACAACCCTAAACCCTAAACCCTCAACCTGAACCCTAAACCCTAAACCCTAAACCCTAAACCCTAAACCCTACGAAGTTGGGGAGGTGTTCAGGTGTTCAGCTTTGCGGGTGCAGGTCCAGGCTTTGCTGCTTCGAGTCGCACACCCAAACTCAACTCCGTGACCCAGACTTAGGGTTTAGGGTTTAGGGGTTAGGGTTTAGGGTTAGGGTTTAGGGTTTAGGGTTTAGGGTTTAGGGTTTAGGGTTTAGGGTTTAGGGTTTAGGGTTAGGTTTAGGGTTTAGGGTTTAGGGTTTAGGGTTTAGGGTTTAGGGTTTAGGGTTTAGGGTTTAGGGTTTAGGGTTTAGGGTTTAGGGTTTAGGGTTTAGGGTTTAGGGTTTAGGGTTTAGGGTTTAGGGTTTAGGGTTTAGGGGTTAGGGTTTCGGGGTTAGGGTTTAGGGTTTAGGGTTTAGGGTTTAGGGTTTAGGGTTTAGGGTTTAGGGTTTAGGGTTTAGGGTTTAGGGTTTAGGGTTTAGGGTTTCCAGGTTGGCATCCAAACCCCCCTGGAACATGCTAAGCAAAATTCACCTAAACCCTAAACCCTCAACCCGAAACCCTAAACCCTCAACCCTAAACCCAGGAGGAATGCGCAGGGAAATCTCGGAGGCCGGGCTGGCGAGAACTTGACCGAGCCAATGGCTTTGCTATGTCCTGGGGTGGGTTTGGGGCTTCGGGCTTCCGGCTTAGGGTTTAGGGTTTAGGGTTTAGGGTTCAGGGTTTAAGGGTTTAGGGTTTACGGGCTTAGGGTTTGGGATGTCAGGGTTTAGCGGATGGGGTTTCGGTTTCGGGTTTAGGGTTTGGGGTCTGGGGCTTAAGGGTTAAGGGTGTTGGGTGTCCTTGAAGTTTAGGCTTTAGGGTTTAGGGTTTAGGGTTTAGGGTTTAGGGTTTAGGGTTTAAGGTGTGTTGTTTCTAAGAGTCTTGCTCCGGGTGCTAGGACTGTTGCTTTGTGTCGGGCTTCGAGCCTTTAACCCCAAAAGGGCGGGATCGTGATCCTGCCCCGATGGCCGGTTCTCAGACCGTAAGGTTCAGGGTTTAGGGCTTAGGGTTTAGGGTTTAGGGTTTAGGGTCTAGGGTTTAGGGTTTCGGGTTTAGGGTTTAGGGCTTAGGGTTTAGGGTTTAGGGTTTCGGGTTCAGGGTTTAGGGTTTAGGGTTTAGAACCCGAAACCCCCAGACCCAAAAGTAACCACATAGCTCAAGAAACCCCCGAACTTCATCTGAACCCTGAACCCAATGAAACCCAAGATCCCTGAATCCCTACAAGTCAAAGCACCGAAACCCAACACTCCAGAACCCTACAACCTCAAAGCCCTTACACTCCTAAACCCAAAGACCCCAAAACCCTAAACACTGCCTGAAGAATACCCTCAACCCTACACCCTAAAGGCTCTCAAAAACCCTAAGCCCTAAAGGCCTTAACCCTAAACCTGAAAGGCCCTAAACCCTAAACCCTAAAGGCCCTGGAGGCCCTAAACCCTAAAGGCCCTAAACCCTAAACCGCGTCCTCGGAAGACCTGCAGAGGCTTTCCCGAAGGGACGGCCTCAAGAGCCCATATGGATTGCTGTAGAGGCCTAAGGGGGGTTGCGGAGGGGGGGGAGGTTAACCCTAAACCCTAAACGCATTAGGGTTTAGCAGTTGGCGTCTAGGGGTGCGGAGCTTGTATGGTGTGTGTGCGTGCGTACTCTGCCAACCACAAAAAAGGAGAAGCGTTGAGGTTGTTGATTTAGGGATTTAGGAGTCTGGGGTTGAAGGATTAGGGGCTTTGGGTCTAGGAGTTTTGGGGTTGAAAGTTTTGGGGTTGAGGGGTGAGCTGGGGGATGGGGGTTAGGGCTTTAGGGGCTGCAGGGACTCAGGATTGTGGGTGCGAGGCGCTAACCGAAAACCAGACTAACAAGCTCACGGCAACGAAGGAGGAGAGGCAAGAAGCGTTTTTTTTTTCCGGGATTTGAGTCATTTGCCATTGTGCGGCTTTGCTTAGGATTTATGACGAGCGCAAAGGCTGGCAAGCAAGTGTTGCTAGTCTTTTTCGCTCGCAAAATTCATTGAGAGGTGAAGGAGCAAGGCGGGAAGCGCACCGGAATTAACGTAGAAAATATCCAAGAGAGTGGCTTGCGTGGCTTTTGCTTGGAGGTACAAACACATTCGATCTCAAGGAAAACTGCCTTGTCAAGGGGCCTGTGGTTCAAAACCCCAAGCCCTGAACCCACCTTCTGCGAAACGCACCCTTAGTCGAATTCTGAATCAAAAAGCACGCGCTGGTCATCCCATCCCTATGGCCCAAAGCCCCCCTGAACGTTGAACCCTGAGACCCTGCACCCCAAAACCTGACAAGTCCTAAAGCCCTGAAGCCCTAAAACCCGAAAGCCCTAAAGCCCGAAATCCCTACATCAAAAACCCGAAACCCAATCCTTCAACCCTTAACCCGAAACCCTAAACCCTAAACCCTAAACCCTAAACCCCAAACCCCTAAACCCTAAACCCTAAACCCCGAAACCCTACACCAAGGCCCCAAAGATGCGCCGAGGCTTCCACCCATGCCCGCGCCGTGCCGTCTGCCGAGGCTGTCACTGCCTTAGTGAAAGGTCGGGAAACTTTGTGGGTTTAGGGTTTAGGGTTTAGGGTTTAGGGTTTAGGGTTTAGGGTTTAGGGTTTAGGGTTTAGGGTTTAGGGTTTAGGGGTTAGGGGTTAGGGGTTAGGGGTTAGGGCTTAGGGGTTAGGGGTCAGGGGTTGGGGTTTAGGGTTTAGAGGTTAGGGATTACGGTTTAAGGCTTTTTTGAAGGGGTTTAGGGTTTAGGGCTTAGGGTTTAGGGTTTCGGGTTTAGGGTTTAGGGTTTAGGGTTTAGGGTCTAGGGTTTAGGGTGTAGGGGTTATTTAGGGTTTAGGGCCGATTGTCCCAGATTCGGCACATGACAGAGTTTACGGGTTTAGGCATTCGGGGTTTAGGGGTTTTGGGGCCTTAGAGTTTTTTGGGGTTTGGGGTTTAGGGGATTAGGGGTTTAGGGGTTTAGGGGCTTAGGGGTTTAGGGGTTTAGGGGTTTAGGGGTTTAGGGTTTAGGGGTTTAGGGGTTTAGGGGTGCAGGGGCTTAGGGGCTTAGGGGCTTAGCGGCTTAGGGATTTAGGGCTTTAGGGTCCCCGAGTTTCGACCGAAGCGTTTTCGGGAAGCTTCTCTTTTGAGAACCAAGCTTGCTGGGCTGCCCGTGGGTTTAGGGTTTAGGGTTTAGGGTTTAGGGTTTAGGGTTTCGGGTTTAGGGTTTAGGGTTTCGGGTTTAGGGTTTAGGGTTTCGTCTTGAGGTTTAGGGCTTCGGGTGTGGACATTTAAGCCTTAACCCAACCTTGCCATTGCATTGGGGGGGCGGGGGGGGGGGGGGGAGAACCTCCTTTTGATTGTTTCTTTTGGTGGTGGGGAGGGGCGAGTGGAGTAGCCCACATTTCATGCCTTTGAAATGTGCAAAGACTGCAGAATTTTGGAGGATCTGGCCCCAAATCCTTAACCCCAAACCGCCCGCTCTCTACACCTTAGGCTCTCGCCATCTGCCCGCATGGGGAAAAATCCACACTCTTCACGGTGTCTAGGTGGCCCTCCTTCGCGAAGCGCTTGGGATTTAGGGTTTAGGGTTTTAGGGTTTCAGGGTGTAGGGTTTTTGGGGTTTCAGGGTGTAGGGTTTTAGGGTCTAGGGATAGTCATCCTAAACCCCCTGAACCACCGCCCAAAGCCCAAAAGGCCTATGGCGAACTGCTTTTTGGGGGTCAGAAGATCGTGTTAAGAGACCTGTGTAACCACCGTTAGAAATCCCCTAACCCTAAAACACCAAACCCTAACCCTAAACCCCAAGCCCCTAGACCCCGAAGCTCCTAGAGACCCCCACGGGGCCCCTGAATCACTGAGCCTTAAGCCCCTAACCAAAGACCACTCAAAGTTACAGCAACCTCTGGATTCCTAGGCCCCTGAACCCTAAACTCCTAAACCCAAGACTCCTGCAACCCTAACCTCCTGAAACCCCGAACCCTAAACCCTAAACCCCCAAACCCTAAACCCCAAACCCTAAACTCCTGAAACCCTCAACCCCACAAGCATAAACCCTAAACCCCAAACCCTAAACCTAGGCGCCGGCGGGTTCGGCTCGAGCTCGTTGTTCCAGCAATTGCGAACTCCATCCACGCTTGTGGATGCTTCTTCCGCCGAAGGGTCGTCCCTAAACCCTAAACCCTAAACCCTAAACCCTAAACCCTAAACCCTAAACCTCTTGTGTAACCGCACGCACCTTCCGCAATATGTCGACCACTTAAATGACTCGCATACCCCGCTTCCTGCAGCGGAAGCATCAAGGTTCATCTTCAGGCATGCCTTTGAACCATGCCCATACCCCTGGCAACAGTCGCATTTCGAACGACAATAAACTCCCGAAAGCCCCAAAACCCTAAGCACAAACCCCAAACCCCGAACTCCCGAAAGCCTAAACCCTAAAGGCCCTAAACCCAATCCACAACCAAACCCGAAACTCCTGAACCCGCAAACCAAACCCTCAAACCCTAAACTCCCAAGTCCCGAAACCCCAAACCCTAAACCCCAAACCGTAAACACCGAAACCCGAGGCCCTAAAACCTACACCCCAGAACAAAAACTCTAAACCCTAAACCCCCAAATTCTAAACCCCAAACCCCTGAAACCCCAAGCCCCAAACCCTAAACCCCAAACCCTAAACCCCAAACCCTAAACCCTAAACCCCAAACCCCTCAAACCCCAAACCCTGAACCCTAAACCTGACCCCGAAGCCTAGCCTAAACCCCAAACCCCTGAAACCCGAGACCCTTGGACCTAGACCCCGAACCCTAAACCCTAAACCCTAGCCTAAGTAATAGGATTCCCTTATAATAAGGACCCCGATAAGGTACCACTAATGTCGGAAACCCCCATACGCCCTGCACCTCCTGACGGAAGGCAAGATGAAGCCTAAACCCCCAAAACCCCGAACCCTAAACCCTAAACCCCGAACCCTAAACCCCGAACCCCAAACTCCAAACCCCTGAAACCCCAAACCCCTGAAACCCTAAACCCGAAACCCTAAACCCCAAAACCCAGGCCCTATACCCCGAAACCGCAAAGAACCTCTCAAAGCTACGCCAAGGCGAGGAGTCACTACTAGTAATTATGAAAACAGGGGCCATAAGAATTTTAATAGGAATTTGGGGACTACTATAGAAGAACTATATAGGAACCATAAGGGAACCCCAAACCCTAAACCCTAAGCCCAAATCCCTAAGCCCTAAGCCCTGAGCCCTAAACCCTAAACCCTAAACCCTAAACCCTAAACCCTAAACCCTAAACCCTAAACCCTAAACCCTAAACCCTAAACCCTAAACCCTACCAACCAAAAGACAAGTAAGGCGAGGAGTCCAGCGTGGCGATTCGCTGGCCACTGCTGGCAGCCCAGAGGGCCGCCAGGCCGTCCCCAGCACCTCCATGGGGTTTGGGGTTTAGGGTTTAGGGTTGAGGGTTGAGGGTTGAGGGTTTAGGGTTTAGGGTTTAGGGTTTAGGGTTTAGGGTTTAGGGTTTAGGGTTAGGGTTTAGGATTTAGGGTTTAGGGTTTAGGGTTTAGGGTTTCGGGTTTAAGGTTTAGGGTTTAGGGTTTCGGGTTTCGGGTTTCGGGTTTCGGGTTGCGGGTTTCGGGTTTCGGGTTTCGGGGTTGCAGGGTTTAGGGTTTAGGGGCTGCAGGGTTTCAGGGGCGGGGGCTTTAGAGGGTTGTCTAGGGCCGCAGGTTGATATTCGTTTCAGCCCCTGAAAAGGGGGCAGAAAAGGCGGAGAGGTCGGGGGACTTTCACGGGTTTGGAGGCTTGAGGTTGAAGATTGCCCTAAACCCTAAACCCTATACCCTAAACCCTAAACCCTAAACCCTAAACCCTGAACCCCAAGGCCCAAACGCTCAGCCCTAGGCATACGAAGCATCCACCCTGCAAGCCGACAGCACATGAGCCCTGAACTCTAAGCTCTGGCTCCTTGGAGCTTGAATCTAGGGTTTACGCTTTAGGGTTTAGGGTTTAGGGTTTAGGGTTTAGGGTGGTTTAGGGTTGAGGGTGGTTTAGGGTTTAGGGTTTATTGTAAGAGCAATCTAGGAAGAACAAGGGTACCCTCTTTGGCTTCAGAGGGACTTCTAAGAGAACCCAAACCCTAAAAATCGGGAAGAAGGGACTCTGGGTCCTAGTAGCCCTAAACCCTAAACCCTAAACCCTAAACCCTAAACCCTAAAACCCAAGACTCTTTTGGCGGTACCTGTTTGGGGGGGGGGGGGGGGGACCCTAAACAATCAGGAGGGTTTAGGTTTAGGGTTTAGGGTTTAGGGTTGTGGATTTAATGATCCTAAACCCAGATACCCTTGCGGAATGGACCTGTTAACACCATCTTGCCGTCCGGAGAGAAGCGCGCTGCTCTGACTTCACCTCGGCACACAGACGCCCTCGAAAAGCTTGCAGTTTAGGCTTTGGGCTTTAGGTTTCAGGGTTAACCCCTAGACCCTGAACCCTACACCATACACCCTAAAACCCTAAACTCTACACCCTACACCCGGAACCCTGAACCCTAAACCCTAAACTCTAAACCCTAAACCCTAAACCCTGAACCCTAAACCCTAAACCCTAAACACTAAACCCAAAACCCCAACCAAACCAGAAGCCACTAAGGCCGGCGAGGTCAAACAGAGTCACCAGCTCAAGCTCAAGCGCCCAAGTACAAGAACACCTACCGATACCAGGTCCTCATGCCTTGGCTGAGTTCATAGGGTTTAGGGTTTAGGGTTTAGGGTTTAGGGTTTAGGGTTTAGGGTTTAGGGTTTAGGGTTTAGGAGTTCATAAAAAGTGTAAACTTTCAGTTCTATAGGGGATTATAGTATCCCAAAAAGGTGTAAAAGTGTACTCACTCAGCTACTAAGTTGGTAATGGAAATTGGTCCCACCCAGTGACCGCAGTAGTCCTTAAACTGTCCTAGGGCTTAGGGTTTGCGGTTTGGGGTTTGGGGTTTAGGGTTTAGGGTTTTGGGCTTAGGGTTCGGACTTAGGTCTAAGATTCAGAGTTGCAAAGGAATGCACCCTAATCAAGGGATACTGGAGTATGCTCTAAGGAATCGTTCCTTAAGTTCTACTAAGAATAGCAACAAGAATACAGATAACGGCAATGATCATCACAAAAAATGTTGATAACGATGTTACCAACAACCGCAACCATCCACGTACAAGGGTAGTTCTCTACACATGTTGGTCCTTCTTTCATCGCGACACCCGTGCTGTACTGTATGTGTATGCATATATATATATATATATATATATATATAGAGCGAGAGGACCCCAAAAGGGACCCGAATTTAGAGAACTACGAACTGATCCTGAGTGAAGGGGTGCCGCCCTGGGGAGCTGTAGCCGCATCTTGCGCAGGGTTCGGTGCTTTAGTTGGTTTGGGGTTTAGGGTTTAGGGCTGAGGGTTCAGGCGGTTTTAGGCTTTAGGGTTTAGGGCTTGGGGCTTAGGGTTTGGGATTCATGGTTTACGGTTTGGGGTTGTTCTCGGCCTTCCCAGCGCACCTTTTTGGGCCGACAGCGGCGAAAATCACAGTCGGGACTTCTACCTTCGGCTTGAACCCGACAACCTAAGCCCTAAACCGTAAACCCTGAACCCTAAACCTGAAACCCTAAACCCTAAACCCTAAACCCCTACACTAGCCTGAGCCCCCAAACCCTAAGTCCTAAACCTCTACCCCAGCAGAGGTTTTCCCAGCTCAAGCATGGGGCGCCTATGCCCTACACCCTCAAACCTTTTGACCTCTCAACCCTAAACCCTAAACCCTAAACCCTAGACCCTTAAACCTTAAACCCTAAACCCTAAACTACGGAGGGCTCACACCACCACGTCGTGGCCCAGGCGCTGCCAGGGAAGCAGGGCTTCCTGGGGGGAGGGGGGGGGGGGGCGTTTTGCAAGTCAGGGTGTTGGGGTTTGGGGGGTGTAGGGTTTAGGGTTTAGGGTTTAGGGTTTCGGGTTCGGGGTTTAGGGTTTAGGGTTTAGGGTTTAGGGCTTAGGGTTTAGGGTTTAGGGTTTAGGGTTTAGGGATTTGGGTCTGGGGCTTAGGGCTCAGGGGCTGTTTTGGGGTTCAGGGTTTGGGGGTTTAGGGTTTAGGCATAAATCCTAAAACCCAAACCCCCTTGCTAAACCCTAAACCCTAAACCCTAAATCCTCAAACCCAAAACCCCCTTGCTTAACCCTAAACCCCAAACCCTAAATCCTCAAACCCAAGACCCCCTTGCTTAACCCTAAACCCGAAACCCGAAACCCTAAGCCCCAAACCCTAAACCCTAAACCCTAAATCCTCAAACCCTAAACCCTAAACCCTAAATCCTCAAACCCTAAACCCTAAACCCTAAATCCTCAAACCCTAAACCCTAAACCCTAAACCCTCAAACCCTAAACCCTAAACCCTAAACCCTAAATCCTCAAAGCCAAGACCCCCTTGCTGAAAGCTCCAAGGCTCCTTGAGGACCGCGGCCAAGGGCTGCGAAGGGCCCGAGCCTTCGGCCTTCGTGCTTCAGCTCATCATGGTTTAAGGGTTTAGGGTCTAGGGTGCTGGGTTTGGGGTTCGACGTTTAGGGCTTTGGGTTGGGGCTTAAGGTGAGGGTTTTGGGTTTTGGTGTTTAGGGTTTAGGGGTTTAGGGTTTAAGGTGTGCTCGGCGGGTCGCAGGTTGGTAAGCGCGCAGTAGTATGAAGACACGCCCACCCCAAGACCAACGAACGCTACTCACAACGAGCCAAAAGCAGAGCCAGCCAAAGCCAGAGCCGAGCCAAACCAAATTCACATATCCAGTATGTTCAGGCGGGGAACGGCTGGGCCAGGTTTAAGATTCAGGGTTTAGGGGTGCAGAAGTCAAGAATTCGGGTGCACCCAGGAACCGACAGCCGTTAAAAACGGATAGAACAAAAGGGCACCACCGCGTCTGAGGGGTGGGGCTTTTTGGGTCTTACGGCTTATCGGCTTGTAGAGGGCTTGTAAAGAGCTTGCACAGACATCTGTCGGGTTTCAATGCTTGCGGCTTCAATCTGGGTTTAGGGTTTAGGGTTTAGGGTTCAGGGTTTAGGGTTTAGGGTTTAGGGTTTAGGGCTTCGGGTTTAGGGTCTAGGGTTTAGGGTTTAGGGTTTAGGGTTTAGGGTTTAGGGTTTAGGGTTTAGGGTTTAGGGTTTAGGGTTTAGGGTTTAGGGTTTAGGGTTTAGGGTCTAGGGTTTAGGGTTTAGGGTTTAGGGTTTCCTGGTGGTGCTCTCCCCAGCCTTAGCGCAGAGATCGAAGCGCATCGCGGGAGATGGCGCGCGCAGGAGGGCCTTCCCAAACGGGGAGGCGCGGATATCCCTAAACCCTAAACCCTAAACCCTAAACCCTAAACCCTAAACCCTAAACCCTAAACCCTAAACCCTAAACCCTAAACACAATCAAATCGGGACCCAAAAATGACCCTCAGGGCTTCTTTGGACTTCAAGGGTTCTGAAAGATTGAGTTTAGGGTTTAGGGTTTCATAGGATGTAAGGGGCTCCCCAAGTAAGGGCCTATATTCAGGGACCATGTGTCTACCCTAGGATTCGACACGGGCGGAGGGGGGGGGGGGGGGGGGCGGCGTTCTAAGTTTTTACGGCTTGAGGGGTTTAGGCTCTAGGGTGTAGGGTTTAGGGTTTTAGGCTTTTCTAGTTTAGGGGTTTAGGGTTTAGGCGTTTAGACTGGGGAATCCAGGTTTGTGGTCTCAAGTTCCAAGCACTGCGTCGTTCGCACATCACCTTGCGTTTAGGGCTTCGCGCCTAAACCCTCAACCCTCGACAATGAAAAGCGGGGTCCAAAGGTGGCAGACCACCTCTTAGCAGCTCAGTCTAAATGCGGTTTACCAAAACAGGGGTTCCTTCTATTGGGGTCCTTCTTCGAAAGGAATCCTACTATTTGGGGGGTCTATATTAAGGGCCCCCCTTACTTTGGTAAACCGCCATGTGTGGCGTAGCTAAGGGCAAGTCGGCCGGAATAGCTTTTGCCGAAGGCCGCATCACAAATTTGACAAACCGTACCTCGAGAGCCCGAAAACATACAAGGGCTAAAGGAGGGAACCCTTATGGGACCTTAGGGGTTATTTGGTTATTTAAGGGTTATTTGGGAGGCTAATTAGGTATATAGGGACTGTATATAGGGTTATACAGGGGAAGAAGATTAAGGGTCCCTTCTAGGGGTCCCTCCGTAGACCCCCTTAATTTTGCGCAAAAAAGGCCGTTAAACCCTAAACCATCAGACGTCGACTGTGAGAGCCAGGTACTGCAACATAAGGAAGCTGTTGAGCCCCACTTAGGGTTTAGGGTTTGGGGCTCAGGGGTTAGGGCCAGGGTTTAGGGTTTAACGTTTAGGGCTTAGGGTTTAGGGTCATGAAGGTGCCCGAAACTTGAGGATGGTCTCCCCCCTGACACACCCGGGAGTTTGTGGCTCCTCTGCTAAGAAAAGGAGGGTTTAGGGTTAAGGGTTTAGGGTTTAGGGGTAGTCTCACATCTACGGTTCAGGGTTCGGGATTTACGCCATGTCGAAAACTGAACTACCCCCACATGCAGGCCTCCGCAGCCACGGCGGCCACGTCGTCTCCTCGGGACATCATGCAGGGCTGAGGCTTTTAGGGAATTTCGTCTAGGGTTGAGGTATGGGTGGCCTAGCTGAGCTCAGGTCTTCTTTTTGTGGGCTTAGCGAGCTTCGGCCTTAGTGGGTCCAGGATAGTTCGTTCAGGGTTGAGGGCTTCGGGCTTCGGGGGCATTTCCCAAGATAAGGGTACCCCTCATGGACTCTTGGGTAGGGAGTTCAGGAATGAGGAACCTGTCTATGTTCACTTCGAGAAGCTGCATGTAAGGCTAAACTTCCAAACCCTAACCCCTAAACTGGCCCCTAAGCCCTAAACTCCTAAACCCTAGACCCCCAAACCCTAAACCCTGAACCCGTAAACCCCTTGACCCTTAAAAGCCATCAGGGATTTTCACGGTGCTGCAGGCCAGGAGGCTGGGGATCATGATGGTGCCACTCGCCATCCACTCGCTGAACTTGTCGTCCTTAGGGCGTTTTGGGGCAGGGTTTGGGGGCTCGGCCCTAAACCCTAAACCCTGAACGCGCCTCAGAAGTAGGTGTGGTTTTCTCACGCAAACCCGGGTTCAGGGTTTCGGTATGAAGGGGCGAAACCAGAAACTGCTGCTGAAAGCTGAACATTCAGCCCTTGACGGGGCTGTTGTTCGGGAGCTTTAAATTAAGTTGCATGAGCCCATAATAAGGGCCCTATACATTCTGAGTTCCTTAACAAGAGCCCAGATGACGCGCGCCCTACGCCCGCAATCCCAGGCACACCCCTAAACTCCTTCGGGCTTAGGGCTTAGGGCTTAGGCCTTAGGCCTTAGGGTTTAGGGTT